TTTCCGCTCAATGACTTGAGTAATTTTGAATGGATTGATTTCAAACTTGGTAGGAAGATTCATTGCCATGAAAGCTTGGAAAAGTTCGATAACCAAAAGTAATTGGCTATTATTTATGCAGTTATGGCCCTTTGTAGAATTGACACTTATCTCTCCAAAATTTATGCACTTATGACCCTTTGTGGCAAACTGCTCATTTGACATCTGACGGGCGTATCATGTACCGCTTTGCTGAACTCTTGTTGTACTTGAAATCAATCAAAAAGCTAACCTGATGCCTTAAATTTTGTCCCAACATATTCCAGTTGTGCAGAGAGCATAAGCCCTGGCATTTCAAGGATGAGAATGTAGTGAAAAGAGTCACATTATGATTTAGACAGTAACCAAGGTTGTATTTGAATTATTTGATCAGCTAGGTTTTTTTAATGTAAAGAGTTGATTTCTGCAGTGGCCTATGTGGTGATTATCTATATGTTCGGATCTTATGTAACCAGGACAACTTACTTAAATTTTCGTAAGTTCCCTATCAGATTTGTTACTATGTGGGTTTTGTTTTAATAGCTTAGTTCATTAGTAAATGATTAATTACATTGAAAGCAAAACATTTACAGTGTAGATGAAGGTCACTCATTATTGGACCAATGACAAGTGTGGATAGCAGTGTCATTCTCTACCACTGCTTGTCTGATCCGTTTGTGTCACGTTCCTTCAGTAGCCTGCACTGTAGTCGTGATGTCTGTTACTGATGTCGACACTGCATGTTACAGTTACAACCAATTCCCGTTGTTATGTACCACTATATAACTTCCTTATTTTATTTATATGTTATTCCATGGTGTTGGCTGTCTTGACTCTATACATAATTAATGCTGTAAAAACAAGTACATTCTGTTGTAGATATATATTTTTTATAGATGACATTTATAAATATTTCACTTGTTATGTTGGCATGATATAGTCTTGGGTCTTTTGTATATAGACTGTGAATTTCAGCATTTAAGTTTTATATTTTATGTGACTGCATTGGTTTAATACTTAAGTGTCACATACCATGTACAATAGATGTTTCATCCTCACCACAGAAACAACCTAAACAATTTTAGCACAAAAATAAAAATGAAGAGAGATTTAACATTGTTCTTTGTTTGCCTTGATAAACTTAAACAAAATGTGGAAAATGGTTACCTTGATAAAAGAAATGTTTGAGACAAAATGGTGGAACTGTGATGTATGATATGAAAAAAATATGCAGGTGCTTGTTTGGAAAAGTCATCCAGAGAAAGTGGGCCTTCAGTAGTTTGAGACAATTGTTGTGTACTTTACAGCATCTCTAATGCGTCATTCCGTTTCAACTTGATCTTTTAATGCTGCTTGGATATCACGTTTTAGCCAGAAGCAAAAGTTCTTCGATCAAATCCATGTAATGAGCAACAGTGGGGGTTCGACATTTTACCCCCAGTCCTATCTAGAACTAGTCATATACAGATGTATGTCGCACACAGGGTGGCCAAGTACCAACCTGGTCATCCTAGGAGAAAGCTATCACAACGTAAACCTGTAAGAAGGTCCAGGCATGAGAGGGGATTGTTCCCTGGCCATGATCTTGAGGGGAATGGGAAGGACTCGTTGATTACTTGCCCCGATTCTGATGGGAAGGTGATGGTTCCTAATCCTGATTCTGATGGGAAGGTGATGGTTCCTAATCCTAATTCTGATGAGAAGGGGAAGGGGATGGTTCCTAATCCTGAATCTGATGAGAAGGGGATGGTTCCTAATTATTATTCTGATAGAAAGGGAAATGCAGGCATTCTTAATTCTGATTCTGATGGGAAGGGGAAATTGGTGATTTCTAACCCTGATTTTGCTGGGAAAGGAAATGCAGGCATTCCTAATTCTGATGGTAAGGGAAAGATTTCTCATCTTGATTTTGATGGAAAAAGGAAGGCTGTGATTTCTCACCCCTATTCTGATGGGAAGGGGAAGGTGGTGTTTCCTAACCCTGACACTGTGGGGAAGGGAAAGGCTGTGATTTCAAACCCTGATTCTGATGGCAAGGGGAATTTTGGTATTTCTCATCCTAACCCTATGGGGAAGGAGAAGGCAGGTATTTCTCAGCCTGACCCTTTGGGGAAGGAGAAGGCAGGTATTTCTCAGCCTGACCCTATGGGGAAGGGTAAGGAGGTGATGGTATTACCCTCAATTAAGTCGACAAATCACAGTATCACATCTACAGATGATAGCATTAAAACCCATATTGCCAAACTAAAACAAATGAAGGACAATAGTTTGAACCAAACCCCAGTTTTACCTGCTATAGGTTCCTCTTTTTCAGTAGATTTACATAGAGATTCTTTACTTACAAATATTGACTCAAAAAGTATCAGTACAAATGAAGTCAATAAGTATGAAAGTGAAAAAGTTTCAAATGATAGAGCTAGCAAGTTGTGTAAGTCTGTGACAAAAAGTTCCGTACATTTGTTTCCCAAAGTTACCGGTGAAGTAGTTGATATAGGTAACCATGAAGATAGGTCTGGAAACTCAGCACTCTCTCAGGTAGAGAGTAGTGATGACACCGAGGGGGAAGGGTTTAGGATTGGGGTGTCTATAACAGGGATAGATAGAGATAGAATGGAGTTCACTCAGGTCAGAAACAGTGATCAGACATTTGAGAAACAAATACAAAAGGACCTGGGAACTTCACAACAAGACGCATGCTCAACAGCATTGTCTTCTGGTCAAATGGAGAGGAAACTAGTTTTTGAGGGAGTCAACAACTCTAGGCAACCAAAGAGAATGGACTCGTACAGTAGTGACCAGACAATCAGTGATGGCGCGAGTATGACAAAAGGATATCAGCAGTCAGGCAACAGCCTGTCAGCCTCGGCCGGGAAACTGTCCTCCCTAACAAGGTCAGAGGGCAGTATGGAGGGAGCAGACAAGGCAAGCCCCCTGGTTATTAAATCTGCATGTTGTTAGTATTGTGTTATACTGTGTCTCTACCTCTGCCATTACTAACCTCCTTGTCAAACACCAAACAGTTGCTCACAAAGCTAAAATGATCTTTTGATAGTTGTACAGTATGTTATACACGCACTGCTGATTGAAAACTTTTCTGATTGTTATCTTAATAGCTTTCAGTTCAGCTAGCACATAAAGTTACATCAATATTTCAGTGATTATGTTACTGTTTGGATGTGAACCCTAGACAAGGGGGAGTAGTGGCAGAGAAACTGGTGATGAGTGTGTACTGGATTTGCTGTTGTGTATGAAACTGTTTCCTTGCCACTTCTTGTAAGATGTAACAAACTTTGTGAAAGTGAGGCAGATTCAGCTTGATATTTCTTAAATATCTTTCACAGTTTGAAATCACATTCAAATATTAAAACTAACTGATTATTTTTATCCCGTCAGGCTAATTGTGTTGTTTTGCTATCAAAATTTGTATCAAAGATGACTATTTCAAAATTATACATAGTGTATAGGTAAATAAACCTGTGTTGAAAGTTCCTACATTTAAATCTTGAAAAAAAACCAATACCTGGTACATGTGGTCAGACGATTTGTTAAAAAGGAAATTAAATAATAAATAAAAATGTAAAAGAATCCATAAAAAGTTGCATTGCAATCAATCTGGAAATGAAAAATACCTGTAAATTAAGCTTGTAAGCAACATGTTTTTCATGAAATTTGTTCTTTTTTACAGACTTTTCTACTTTCACTTTCCAACTGTTCTCCCCTGCACATCATCCCATTCCCTTAAGTTCTGGAAATGGTTCTACAGGTACAGAAAAAATACCTTTTCTGCGAATATTGAATTAAACTGAATTAGAAATGACAGTGTAATGATTCTATCTGGTTATCCCTGACAGTTTACACTGCACCATTCATCAAGTATCACCTCTTCTGGGTTTGGTGGAACAGCACAAGCAGAGCACTTGTTCTCAATAATAAAACACTCTTTGGAATGCTTCATTTTGATAAATAGTAGTAATTTTATGTCCAATTTGCTCAGAAATTTTCATGAATATTTGAGAAAGCTTTTAATATGAGAATGACATATAAAGACATCGTGACTATTTAACCGTGATATTTATGATATTTCGTTGAATCTCTGTCACATACAACTGGTACAGCCTTGTGTGCATGCTTTTGAATGGTTGTTATTGTTGTTAATGGTTGTATTATACTTTGTTTGAACCAAATTATGAATTGTTGTATTTGTAATACATGTTGTTTGATTTTTTACTTTTCTACAGTTTATTTGTTGTTGTGAGTTGAGTTTTTGTTGTCAACGTATGGACACATGTCATGTCCAGTCTAGTGAGTATATGATGTTTTTCTCCGAATTAAACATGAATACTGACAATGTATCTGGCTGTAGGCTTGATTGTAGATTCATAACGGCTGAAATAGAGTTTATAATATAGATTGATGAGTTAGATTACATCTGATAATTGTGTGAGTAATCTATAGTTTAAGTAACATTAGAATACCAGTACAATAAACTTGTGACGATGACAAAGTACAGGTGTAACATATAGAAAAGTGTGACTGTACTGACAATATCACACACAGATAAGTGTGAAAATGACAACAATATAACATTTACATGTTGTGCTGGTGTGATGAATTGATTGTAATTAAGCTCTCAGGTTTATGTGTGCAGAACAAACAAATGCTTTATGTGTTTTTTGGAAATTGTTTTGTGTGTTTGCTTTAAATTTTGATCCATGGATATGTGATCATACTTGAATTAGTTCAGTTTTTATTTTTTCAAGACTTTATAAGAAAAGTTTTTATCAATATGTAAAATGAATTATTACCAAGTCCTGTGCTTACCTATTAACGTTTAAAAAATAATAAATAAAAATGCTCTTGATCGACTTATCGTAAAAACTTAAGTTTCCTAGTTCTTGCGATTCTTGTAAGTAATGATTAAAACTCTGACCGTGTTTTTTAAATGGACGAGTTAATTACTGTGAAATGTATGCTCGTTACAGTACCAGGATGATGCAAGATCAGAAATGACAAGCCGGTCAGATCGGTCTAGTGTCGTGAGTGACAAAAAGAACCCCCAGCAGGCACAGACAGATAGCGATGCTAAACAGCTGTTCAACGCCTCCAAACTGATAGGCAGAGGTAAGTTTGTTGAAGTTATCCCCCTTACATGACTTGTCAATTGTAATACACACCCATTCATAACTGATATAGAAAGGTACATCACATTTTTTTTTTATTTGTACTGGTTACTTGGCTGCATTATGTATGTTTGATGAGTTTCGTCTTCCTGTAACCATTAAAAAAGGTAGAATTTTTTTTGTTGTTATTGTAGTTCACCCAGAAGACATAATTATTAGGACCTGTGTGAGACGCAACCAGAAACAGAGAATGAAGACCAAGGCCAGATTTGAGGAACTCTATGAACTGGTAAGGTAGAAGCTGTTGATATCTTAATCAGTTTATACAAAAGTGCCTCGTACAACAAGAACCGTGTCACTGTAAATGGGTATGATTACGGATGGCATATATTTGTCGGACTAATTGCTCTTTCAGCATATGAATAGGCTAAGGTGTTGTTTTTCCTTTGGCTCTTCTCATTTTTGCTACAGGTATTTAAAATGTCTTAAAGCAAACTCATGGACCTATTATTTAGACACCATACACCTGAATTAATTGTTACTCACACAATTATCAGATATATACCTGTATGGAACTATAGCCTACTCACATAATTATCAGATATATACCTGTATGGAATTATAGCTTACCCACACAATTATCAGATATATACCTGTATGGAACTATAGCTTACTCACAGAAATATCAGATATATACCTGTATGGAATTATAGCTTACTCACACAATTATCAGAAATATACCTGTATGGAACTATAACTTACTCACACAATTATCAGATATATACCTGTATTGAACTATAGCTTACTCACAGAATTATCAGATATATACCTGTATGGAATTATAGCTTACTCACACAATTATCAGATATATTCCTGTATGGAACTATAGCTTACTCACACAATTATCAGATATATACCTGTACGGAACTATAGCTTACTCACAGAAATATTAGATATATACCTGTATGGAACTATAGCCTACTCATACAATTATCAGATATATACCTGCATGGAACTATAGCTTACTCACAGATGTATCAGATATATACCTGTATGGAACTATAACTTACTCACACAATTATCAGAAATATACCTGTATGGAACTAGAGCCTTCTCATACAATTATCAGATATATACCTGTATGGCACTATAGCTTACTCACAGAATTATCAGATATCTACCTGTATGGAACTATAGCTTACTCAAAGACGTTTTGGATATATACTTGTATGGAACTATAGATTACTCACACAAATATCAGATATATCCCTGTATGGAACTATAGCCTACTCACATAATTATCAGATATATACCTGTATGGAACTATAGCTTACTCACAGACGTTTTGGATATATACCTGTATGGAACTATAGCTTACTCACACAAATATCAGATATATACCTGTATGGAACTATAGCTTATACTCACAGAATTATCAGATATATACCTGTATGGAACTATAGCCTACTCACAGACGTTTCGGATATATACCTGTATGGAACTATAGCTTACTCACACAATTATCAGATATATACCTGTATGGAACTATAGCTTACTCACAGACGTTTTGTATATATACCTGTATGGAACTATAGCTTACTCACAGACGTTTTGTATATATACCTGTATGGAACTATAGCTTACTCACAGAATTATCAGATATATACCTGTATGGAACTGCAGCTTACTCAGAGACTTTCTAGGCATATTCACAGACTTACTAAACACCACCATTTATTGAGTTATATTTCTCACTGACGTATTAGACATTTTACTCACAGATTTAATTATACATGTAAGGAATATGTTCACAGGAGCTGATTCCAGAATTGAAGTCTGGGCTTGGTGCCAGCTGGTTCCTTGTAATTGATGCACTCCTTGATGACCGCACTACCTGTTCAGCAAGGGCGATGCACGATGCTCTGGAGGTATGCAATCTCTGTATAATATCTGATGGTCAACTGTGTGTAGTGATAATACCATTCCATCATTGGTCTGTCAATATCATGTGTGTAGTGATAATACCATCCCGTCATTGGTCTGTCAATATCATGTGTGTAGTGATAATACCATCCCGTCATTGGTCTGTCAATATCATGTGTGTAGTGATAATACCATCCCGTCATTGGTCTGTCAATATCATGTGTGTAGTGATAATACCATCCCGTCATTGGTCTGTCAATATCATGTGTGTAGTGATAATACCATCCCGTCATTGGTCTGTCAATATCATGTGTGTAGTGATAATACCATCCCGTCATTGGTCTGTCAATATCATGTGTGTAGTGATAATACCATCCCGTCATTGGTCTGTCAATATCATGTGTGTAGTGATAATACCATCCCGTCATTGGTCTGTCAATATCATGTGTGTAGTGATAATACCATCCCGTCATTGGTCTGTCAATATCATGTGTGTAGTGATAATACCATCCCGTCATTGGTCTGTCAATATCATGTGTGTAGTGATAATACCATCCCGTCATTGGTCTGTCAATATCATGTGTGTAGTGATAATACCATCCCGTCATTGGTCTGTCAATATCATGTGTGTAGTGATAATACCATCCCGTCATTGGTCTGTCAATATCATGTGTGTAGTGATAATACCATCCCGTCATTGGTCTGTCAATATCATGTGTGTAGTGATAATACCATCCCGTCATTGGTCTGTCAATATCATGTGTGTAGTGATAATACCATCCCGTCATTGGTCTGTCAATATCATGTGTGTAGTGATAATACCATCCCGTCATTGGTCTGTCAATATCATGTGTGTAGTGATAATACCGTCTCGTCATTGGTCTGTCAATATCATGTGTGTAGTGATAATACCATCCCGTCATTGGTCTGTCAATATCATGTGTGTAGACAACCTACTCAAACTGAGTGGAAGGGGTCATTAATGTCATATTGCAATAAACACAATAGAAAGGCGTCACTTTTTTGTATGTAATGGATAATATTTTTTGTCAAGACTATATATTAGCTACTTACTGCAATATACTTTGTTTTAGGATGGGAATTACAACACAGCCGTAGAGATTCTTTGTCTAAGTACACCACAGTCCTTGGCTACCCTAAATGACCTCTACAACAAAGGTAGGTAATAACCATACTTGTGTATGTCTTATTTACCTTTTCAAATTAATGACATAATCATATGTTTCTCTGTTTTACCTGTATATCAACACTTTATAATTTTTAAGATGGATTTATAAGTCCCTGCAAGAAAAGTTACTATGGGACCAACAAGTACACCTTTTCCAGCCATTTCTGTCTCACCAGATTAAAGTGTTTCAGAATACTAATTTGTCTCAAAGATAGAAAAGGAATAATAAGGTATCATTATACATGCTGCAATTCTTTAACAAGACATTTTAAAATACCCAGGCTGCGAATGCTGAATGTAAAAAATTACAGTTTTTGACGCTTTCATTTCTCACAATAAAATGTAGCATCTTAACTATTCTAACGAGCTCAAATGTACAGGTTACAGATCCGAACATGCTGATCAAGGTCACCACTCAGTTTACACCATAAGTAGAAAGCCTGAAAGGGTTGGAGTTATCTCCCTTCTACCATTTATTTTAATAAGTCAAAGAACTTGTCACCTAATTTTTTATCAAATGTTCAAACTTCATTTAGTTTTATATGAGTTCTCTAATTTCATTAGGGTACATCAATTTAATCAGGTTTGTATGTTATGTTTCATACAGTAATTCAACAACTACGTGTAATCAAAACATGCTTCTTCAACAATTGTGTCACCGGACCTATACACTATTTAAATGATGAATTATTTTGTAACACAGTATAAATGTTGTCATTGAGGCCTATATCTATTGTAGACTACGCTGTGACTTTGGAGGCAAACATCACAGATAAGACTGAAGCCCCAGAACAGACTCTACTACTCGCTCTACATACGGTACAAGCACACACAGCAAATCAAAATCATCAATTCCCTCGGGTTTATTCTTGATTTTTTCCCCAATGGAAATACCATATAGGTCATAGATCCGATACATTACCTATCAACCGTAGGTAAACCTGGTAAGATCAGAACATTTTGTGTATTTAATGGGTTGTCAAAACTATAGGATCTTCTGTTCATTTACCCCTGTAGAGCCATTGAGCTATTCAAACATAAATATGGAGCTGAAATGAACTTTTCTGTCTTTGTCAGGGTCGTGATGAGTCGGTAAAGGTAGAGGAGAAGGAGGCTGAAAAGGATGCAGATTCTCTGTACGAGGTAAATCATCTATTACCGATCCCATTTGGAAAGATTTATAATGTCTATATACCTCAGCTGGATTTATTTGGCCATCATAGTTCCACGTCTGACATTGGAGTTTTACAGTTTTAGAAGTGCTGAGTAATGAGTATGGAGTTCCAAATGTTCACTTATCAACACATGTAACAAGAGTCTGTGTTGTATTGTTATCAATTTCTAAAAATCCAAATTGAATATTATTTTTGTTAAATTTTCAGTCAGGAGACGGTCGTTGGAGCAGTGACACAGGACCTTTCATCAAGATGGTTTGTGGACGTAACTTTGCCCACATTCGAGTCGTCCTGAACTTGTATCAGGTTTTGACAGGAGGGAAGGATGTGACAGAGGACATAAAGAGTGAATGTGCACGCCAGTATGCCGACTGTCTCATGACTATGGGTATGTTTGAAGCTTCCCTATCGGATTTGTCTAGGTCAGGTCCCGGGAGCAATCAATGTCTCGCTCATGTTCTCAGTAGATATGAACAAAAGACTTCAATGACTTCAGACTATGAAAGGATCGATCTGGCTGAAATAAAATGTTCATTTTGCTATCAAATTACAATCAACCCATTCTACACCAATTCATAAGCCAGTGAAATTCAGCATATATTCCATAATAGTTTATGAATTTGCATGAATCATTTGAATGTATACACACTTTATAAAGAACTTTTATACGTTATTCTTCATATAAAATTTGTGCTTATCTGAATATTGTGCACCTTATTATGCAAGCCTATGGTTTCTCAAAAGATCATCCGATAAAATCAGAGGGCCATTACACAAAAATTCCACTGTTATTCAACCATAGCAGAGTTATGGAGGGATTATCAAAAACGTCATAAAAAACAATTAAATTGTCATTAAAAACAATTACCAGGTAGTTAAAATCACTGGTGCAAGGGGTTGTTATACATTTATTGTGTTACAGATATTGTATTGGGGTTATAATTTTATTTCATCATAAACAGATATTGGGATTACAATCTAATTGATTGGTCCATGTTACAGATATGGTATTGGTGTTATGTAACATTTCCTTGTGCAGTTAAGATAGCTCCTCCTTTTACCGGTACTTACTATTGATACAGAGCCTTCACCATAAACACAGTATGAAATCTTATTTAGAGAATAATATTCAATTTTGAGTGACTGTCAATCTACTTATACAGTAAAACGATTGCTTACTTGTCCTATGTGCTAAATTAAATACCTTGCAGTTATTAAATATGCGGTAGGGAACGGAAAAGGAGGAGCTATCTTAACTGCATATGGAAATGTTACATAACACCAATACCATATCTGTAACATGGACCAATGAATTAGATTGTAATCCCAATATCTGTTTATGATGAAATAAAATTATAACCCCAATACAATATCTGTAACACAATAATGTATTTTATGCACCCCCCACTTTGGGTATTAAATTTCTGGAGAAAAAAAATGAGCAAATTACATGGGTTTTTACGGTACTAGAAATCCTTTTTTTCCAAGACACTGTGGATTTTTGTGCCTTGATTTGGGGATGTTGTTATCTCTCATCAAGAACAGTAATTTGATTGTCTGCCTCCATGGATGGAGCGCTGATTGAGTTTGAATGCCTAATGCATGTATAATGCTATAACATTGTGAAATCCCAGTATGAATGTCCGACATGCAAGATAGCCATATAGTTACGGATTTCCCCTTGGAATTCATGCCGGAGACCACTTTCCTGCTGTAATTATGTATTTATAACCATATCCTCAGTTTTTCTATTTTCTTGATGCTGATATAAGTGAAATACAAATGAAGTTATTATAAGGAGGATCAAGTGCATTCAGTATGCAGTATGAAATCCACAGATTCCAGCACTTAGTCTATACATACATGGATTCCAGCACTTAGTCTCTACATACATGGATTCCAACACTTAGTCTATACATACATGGAGTCCAGCACTTAGGCTATGCATACATGGATTCCAACACTTAGTCTATACATACATGGGTTCCAGCACTTAGTCTATACTTACATGGATTCGAGCACTTAGGCTATACATACATGGATTCCAGCACTTAGTCTATGCATACATGGATTCCAGCACTTAGTCTATACATACATGGATTCGAGCACTTAGTCTATACATACATGTTTCCTGTCTGTTACGGACTTCTATGAGACCTATTAAGAGTAGAATGGACAGTGATTTGTGGAATTCTAAAACTTCTCTTTTTGTCCATTACAGTGAATTGTGTGAGAGGAGCCGACACTTATTTTGCTGATAAGATTTTCAAGAACATGTCTGCCAAAGACCAGGACTTCGTCAACATGCTCGTGGCTCGGTCTGAGGTGAGGTGTACCGGCGTTAACAGGGATGGCCCTCAAGATAGCTTCTGTAGCAATGCTTGTCATTTTGCTTAAGGCTGCTAAACTGCCTTATTATTGCCAGTCATCCCCAAATGAATAATGATTGAGAAAACCTGATTTTTTTTCCAATTTTCTGAAAATTCAATTCAATTTTTTTTTTTTAAGAACTTATTTATTTTTTGTTTTATCTCATTTCCCGATTTTATAATTTGACAATGACAACCCTTCGAAAGAATTGAGGATAAAAATAACTAACAAATCCTTACCAAGGGCTTATTTTAAAATTGCTGGAACCATCCAATGTTCTGACAGTATTTAATGTATTATTCTGTCTGCAAGCTGGTTTTAGCCAAAAACCACGTCCCAAAGCCTCAGCAGTGCTGTTACTGCTACAGGATATTGTTTTTCATTCAGCCATCCTTCTATTAACTTTGTATGTTTTTACTTCTACTTGTCAACATTTCTACAGATATAACGGGGACCAATTTAGGAGTCAAGAATCTCAATTCATACTTTTGGGAAATAAGCTTCAAACATTTTTTGGTCTAACGTCCACAGTAACTATCAGGAATGGTTAGAGTTGTTTGGTCTAACGTCCACAGTAACTATCAGGAATGGTTAGGGTTGTTTGGTCTAACATCCACAGTAACTATCAGGAATGGTGAGAGTTGTTTGTTCTAACATCCACAGTATCTATCAGGAATTGTTAGGGTTGTTTGGTCTAACGTACACAGTAACTATCAGGAATGGTGAGAGTTGTTTGTTCTAACATCCACAGTAACTATCAGGAATGGTTAGGGTTGTTTGGTCTAACGTCCACAGTAACTATCATGAATGGTTAGAGTTGTTTGGTCTAACGTCCACAGTAATTATCAGGAATGGTTAGAGTTGTTTGGTCTAACATCCGCAGTAACTATCAGGAATGGTTAGGGATGTTTGGTCTTACATCCCCAGTAACTATCAGTAATGGTTAGAGTTGTTTGGTCTAACATCCGCAGTAACTATCAGGAATGGTTAGGGTTGTTCTATAGGGTTGTTCTAAAGGGTTGTTTGGTCTAAGGTCCACAGTAACTATCAGGAATGGTTAGGGATGTTTGGTCTAACGTCCACAGTAACTATCATGAATGGTTAGAGTTGTTTGGTCTAACATCAACAGTAACTATCAGTAATGGTTAGGGTTGTTTGGTCTAACATCCCCAGTAACTATCAGGAATGGTTAGGGTCTTACGTACACAGTTACTATCAGGAATGGTTAGGGTTGTTTGTTCTAACGTCCACAGTAACTATCAGGAATGGTTAGGGATGTTTGGTCTTACATCCCCAGTAACTATCAGTAATGGTTAGAGTTGTTTGGTCTAACATCCGCAGTAACTATCAGGAATGGTTAGGGTCTTACGTACACAGTTACTATCAGGAATGGTTAGGGTTGTTCTAAAGGGTTGTTCTAAAGGGTTGTTTGGTCTAAGGTCCACAGTAACTATAAGGAATGGTTAGGGTTGTTTGGTCTAAGATCCACAGTAACTATCAGGAATGGTGAGAGTTGTTTGTTCTAACATACACAGTAACTATCAGGAATGGTTAGGGATGTTTGGTCTTACATCCCCAGTAACTATCAGTAATGGTTAGAGTTGTTTGGTCTAACATCCGCAGTAACTATCAGGAATGGTTAGGGTCTTACGTACACAGTTACTATCAGGAATGGTTAGGGTTGTTGGGTCTAACGTCCACAGTAACTATCATGAATGGTTAGAGTTGTTTGGTCTAAGGTCCACAGTAACTATAAGGAATGGTTAGGGTTGTTTGGTCTAACGTCAACAGTAACTATCAGGAATGGTTAGAGTTGTTTGGTCTAACGTCCACAGTAATTATCAGGAATGGTTAGAGTTGTTTGGTCTAACATCCGCAGTAACTATCAGGAATGGTTAGGGATGTTTGGTCTTACATCCCCAGTAACTATCAGTAATGGTTAGAGTTGTTTGGTCTAACATCCGCAGTAACTATCAGGAATGGTTAGGGATGTTTGGTCTTACATCCCCAGTAACTATCAGTAATGGTTAGAGTTGTTTGGTCTAACGTCCACAGTAATTATCAGGAATGGTTAGAGTTGTTTGGTCTAACATCAACAGTAACTATCAGTAATGGTTAGGGTTGTTTGGTCTAACATCCCCAGTAACTATCAGGAATGGTTAGGGTTGTTTGATCTAACATCGACAGTAACTATCAGGAATGGTTAGGGATGTTTGGTCTTACATCCCCAGTAACTATCAGTAATGGTTAGAGTTGTTTGGTCTAACATCCGCAGTAACTATCAGGAATGGTTAGGGTCTTACGTACACAGTTACTATCAGGAATGGTTAGGGTTGTTGGGTCTAACGTCCACAGTAACTATCAGGAATGGTTAGGGTTGTTTGGTCTGACATCCACAGTAGCTATCAGGAATGGTTAGGGTTGTTTGGTCTAATATCCACAGTAACTATCAGGAATGGTTAGGGTTTTATGGTCTTGCATTGTTTTGTCTATGGCAGGCTTTAATATTTTTTTATGAGTTAAATGGAGTTTATCTGATTTCTATACCAACTCTCAGGAATAATTTGATATTTGCTTTTTTTTTTTAAATTTCAATCAATATCAAATCAACTGAAAGCTATTTGTAGCAATTTGTTGCCAAAGCTTTTGTTTCCATTTTGTCTGTGAATCTGCAATAAACAATAAATGTGACAGTTATGAGAAGGTTTTGTGAACACTAAGGCTGATATCTCCCTCCCCCACATATGTTTATACTAGCTCAGCATTTCTCTGCTACATCTGGTATAACTGGTACTCAAGTTCTCCGAAACAAGTCACATTTTCACCAGAACTTGAAGCATACAAATGGGTATTTACTGCAATCAGTCATCAACTTTGTCATTCCCCTGACATGTCATTGGAATCAGCTTAAAGTAATTGTTAACCATTTCTGTATTTCAAATGGAAATTTCACAAGCATGGCATGGATTATGGTAAATTATATTTTGATTAACAAAAACATGTTGTTTATTGTTCGCTTCAAAAAAAAATTCACTGCCCTTACGAAACTGGTTTTCTGGCATCACACTGATATCACACTGACATGACTAATTTCGTTTGTGCCATAGCCAGCACGATGCTCTCGCTGCAGCTTCTCCCAATCGTCTGATGGCGGTAGCTCTCGGCCTCCCAGTGAGTCCTATCAACTGTAGTGTCCTCCACACTGACTGTGTGGGGAAACCTCTACAGCCAACCTCCACTGGAAAGAGCCATACTGTCCATCCTCTGCTCCTGCACTTTTCCACCAGCTCATCATACTTGGCTTTCTTCCTCTCGTGAGCTTCCTCGCAGCCTTCCTCACATGGTACGGTGAGCTCTACGGCGATGAGGTGTCTGGATTGCTCTGTCCATATTACCATGTCAGGCCTCAGTGTTGTTCCACTATTCCTGGAAACACAAGCTTCCTGTCAAGGTCAACCTTCATCTCCCATATTGGCGCCCGTTTCAAGATGGATGAGGTGCTTCGAGGCTTCACTGTGGCTTTCTCCCCTGGTTTCACAAACTTGATACCAGCCTGGTTTGTTCTTACACCAGTTCTTTTCTTCCTTCTCTCCACTTCAAGGATATCTGCTAGGACCCACAAGACGTTGTCGTGCCTCCATCAGTATCTACCCTGTCGTGCTTCTTTGCAACCAGACAAGATATGAGCCATTATTCCTCTTCCTCCGCATAGCTTGCAGCAAGGATCCTCCGTCAATCCCCACTGATGCAGGTTAACAGGAGATGGTAGCGTGTCATACACGGATCGTAGCAGAAATGATATCCGGAAGGGCTCCATTCTCCATATTTCAGCCCACGTCATCTTCCTCTCTGGGAGATTCCATCTGGTCCACGCACCCTGTTTGCTGAGTTCTACAGATTTCCCTCTCCTCCTTTCCTCCTCAATCCTTCTGATTTCTTTCTGCACCATTTGCCGTCTTTCTTGGGTATTTGCTTTCTCCCACTGCTGGAAATGAGAGAAGCCAACTCCTTGTCTTCCGACGCAGGTATTCCCGATGATATCCTTCAACTCGAGCATACTCTCTGCTTCACCAACTGCAGTGCTTGCTGACCACTTTCTCCCTGTTCTTGTCTGTATCCCTGCCTCGCTGATTTTCACGTCTTTGGAGTCCCTCAGAGTCATCACCAGCCTGCATTTTGCTACCTTGAACTCTTCAACGACCGATTTGAATGGTAGTTGTAGTTCTGCCGAACAACTGTACAGCCCAACTGATGTGAAACTTGGTGGGACCCCAAGCCACTTCCGCAGGTACCCATTCACCATCTTCTCTAACCCTTCTACTGTTGAGGTTGGTATTTCATACAGTAGCAGCAGCCATGTGAGCCTTGGTAGCATGCCATGCTGGTATATCCATGCTTTGTACTTTCCAGGAAGTCCCGACTTGTGGATCTTCTTCATCCACTGGCGCACTTGGCTTTGGGTGTTCTTGTGGTTCTGGCTGTCACTGAATGTGTCATCAAACCATTTCCCTAGACACTTTATGGGGCTGCCAATGATTGAAGGTATCTCCTCCTCTTGGACCTTCAGTACAAACTGTCGGCTGAATCTGCCATACCTCATAATCATGCAACGTGATTTCCGAGGTTTGAACTGCATCCGTGCCCATGTAACTACCTCCTCTAGCGCGGACAAGACCCATCTGGCCTGTACATGTGTGGTGGTAGTGATCGTGGTGGTCATCCATGAAGCCTCTTTTGGCTGGTTGGTAGATGCCAGACTCCATTCTAGGTTCTCTGGTTTCTCTCTCTGCTGCCTTGATGATGATATTCATTCCCATGATGAAGAGTATAGGTGAAATGGTACATCCTGTAACTATTCCCTTTTCCAGGTCTTGCCACGCTGTAGTGCTCTCCCCAACTGTAAACCGCAACTGTATCCCTCCGAAGTAGCTCATTATCATTTTACGGATGTGCTT